AATGGGCAAGGGTTCTGCTAACTAATGCAGGGTTTAGTAACGAGGCCTAGGATCCAAGGGCTGCTTGTTCAGGTTGTCTCAGGCGTTGAGAACGCGTTAGTGGGGTCAACGAGGGGTACTCTAAGGGTTCAGTGCTTGGAATCTTTGGGATGGTCTTCGGCCCTAGGCAGGGTTTAGGATTTACGGTCAGGATTTAGTTTTAGGGTTTTGGATTCAAGGCTTGAGGGTCTAGGGCCAAATTTAGGATTTGGGGTTTAGCGTCCAGACTGCTCCAAAACCCTCCTGCACACAAGACCGGCCTGGAATTTTCGGCTCCGACTTGCTGAGGCCGCGGGACTGGAAGCGCGACGCACGAAGTGTGGTTTTTCTGCTGAGTTGGGTTCGGGGCTTTATCCGCACTTTGGGGCAGGGGACGGCTTGAGGTTGCGTAGTTTGGCTTTAAGGCTTACCGCTTCTGGTTCTGTGTTTAGGCTGCAGTTTTGGTGGCAATTTTAGGATGTGGCTTTTGAAATTTTGCCTGTCTCTGTTCTGTGGTGCCTGTGAATCCCATCTGAGTGAAGCGATTCACATGAGGGAAGCAACAAATATTACCTTTGAAAGCAAGATCTTATGCAGATTGTTTCCACTTTCCGATTGTCCCAAGCCAGGACCAAGCAGCACAATCATCACAAATCATGATGTTAACGAAAACAAATTAAAAACTTATGGCAACACTAACAGTAAGGGCTTTCCCCTCCCACGGCGGCCTTCTCCATGTTGTTAGGCGTGTGGCCTGGCTCCCGCGGTACGGGTCTGAAGGGGCTTCTTGGTGCTTTCGGCTTAAAGCCTGTTGTTTGGAGGGCTTAGGTTTTAGGGTATGGGTTTAAGGATTGCATTGCGTCGTCATTCTAGGTGTTGTTTCATCATTCTAGGATTCTAGGAGAACCGGACCGGACATGAGTAGATGTTAGAGTGGGACTGGGTACCGTGATGCTGAAAAGAACCAAAATCATACCAGTGATACCACTGCAGCACCAGGGATGCTACTAGGAACAGCAGTGTCTTACACGGTGCTGGTTCTCCGCATGCTTTATTGATATGAAGTTGCAGTGGCCGTACCAGAGGCAAGGTGGCTCGCTGCGATCATGCCTGAGCCCTGGCTGCAACTCCTGATGGTGGTGGCGGCGATGGCGGCGGTGGCGGCGGTGGGGGTGGCGGTTGCGGTGGCGGTTGTGCGGTTGCGGTGGCGGTGGCGGTGACGGATCATCATCATCATCATCACCATC